CCCCCACCCACCCCCTTTCCTAGTTCCTCTCCAACCAGAATTTGCTTTTGTCATGGTAATAGGTGCTATGGTAGTCATGAAGTTGTGTGTAGAATTATATTTTGTCCCTCCCGTTATTTTAATATTTATGTTAAGTGCTTGATTGAATAGATTGCTGTTTTATATGAGGATGAACGTGTGGTGTTGACCATAATGAGAAGCGAGGCTACAGCAGGCAATATTTATGGGGCTTAGCTGGGGAAAGGGTTTCAAGGAGAAAAGGAAAGCAAAAAAAAATAAGCATAAATGTCATGGAAATTATTTAATACGCATCGTTACAAGAGTTTGACAGGGATTTCAGTTCAAGTGCTGGTGCTGCCTTGGAAGACAGCTTGCAAAGGGAGCACCAGATGTATTGTGGGTCAGGCCAGGCCTTTTCCGGGAGGGACATTGACCTCCACGCCATGCAGGGGGCACACGTGACCCGGGCGCATGGGATTTGCAATGCGTTTCCAGCGGACTGCCGCAGCCAAGGCATGGGTCCTGCCACGTGTCCCACGGTAGCATCGCCACGTTTCCCACGCGGGCTGCCGTCAGCTGGAGGCGTCGGTGATTGAGGCTGAAGAAGTCGGAAGCAGGCGTTAGCCGATCCCTGGCCCAGCTGCGAGCCCAGGAGTGGTTGACAGGGAGCCTTTTCCTTGTTTTGAAGCTCAGAGAGGTTTTTTTGGCCAGAGTCAGGAGTTCCTCTGTCCTCCCCAACTGGAGGAGAGCTGTATGGACACCTGGGGAACCACAAGCGGGGAGGGAGGATGACATCCTGAGTGCAGGGGGAAGTGTCCCAAGATCCTTGCGCGACACAGGCAGAAATCCCCTGCACTTACCCGCCGTCCATTGAACTGCTCGCAAGCGTGCGGTTTGACAGCCATCCAGAGCTGGGCTGCAGCACGTGTCCCGAGTGTGGGCTTTCAGCACGGGAAAGATCCCCAGGAAACTACCAGGAGTTTGTTGCCGTGGGGTGGGATGCTCAAAGAAAAGTTGCTAGTGGAGGGTAAGAGTCCGGAGGATGTTGGTCTGTCGGGGAAAAGCTTGACAGCGCTGCTGTCCTGTTAATACAGGAACGGTAGGGTGGGCAATCCGCTTCTGACTGCTCTTACTGATTCAGCTGAATCAGGAGTGACTCCGGATTCACACTGGGCTGCTCAGCTTTCCAGACTCAAGAGATTTCATCACTGTCAGGCCTCCTGGGCTTTGCTCCCCTTGATCTCTTTCCTCGCACCCTCGTGGCTAGGAAGAGTGTGTGACTGTGTGTGTGTGGGAATGAGTGTGAGTGTGTACACTCTTCCCTTCCAAATCTGCCATCTCAGCACTGCACCTTTCTGGGAGGGCCGCTGCCAGGAGCCCCAGTGGGATCTCGTGTAGACCCGGGTCCCGCGGGAAGGAAGTTGCTGTGCCACGGTCAGCGAGTGGAGACATTTTTGGTTGCATTCGCAAGGTGCAAGCAGCCCAACATCTGTACATCTCCTGTTACTTATTTCCATTTGGCTCTTACCAACATGGTGTCGGTCTCTACGCTTAGACTCTCAGAGCCACATTCATTCGAGATTTACACCCGGCTCAGCCTTTGTGCAGTCAGTGGGAGTTGGATGGGGGGTAAAGCATGGTATAAGTCAGCCTTTGCTGAATTTTCCTGTGGTCACTATGGGCCGTATATAGTAGCCAAGCTGGCATCAGCCGCGGGCTAGCCCAGAGGGTCCGATTGTGAAGGGGTCTTGCTGTACAAGCCTGAAGGCTGTGATGGGGAAGACGATTACTTCCACTCAGCAAAGGGTCAGCATGAAGAAGAGGCACCGATATACTGCTCATAAGAGTTCCTCAGGCTCATTTATTGGGGTTATTGCTCTTGCAAGTGCTACCCTAGTTTGAGATGAGAGTTGGGGTTTCTGAGACTATCCCTGAAGGATGCAATGTGTTGCACAGACTTTGCATGAAGAAATGTGTTGCTTCCCTGCCCATCATAATTGCCCCTTGGAAGTGGGATCTCCCGTTCACAAGGTGCCGTAAGGAAGATGCCGGCCGCTCTATTGCAGATGGACAGGGTCGCTCTAATTTCTCCATGTAATTTTAAAAGCCTAGCCTGGCTTGTAATGTGCCCCCAGCCGTGTGCGTGTGTGGCGTGTATGTGCGTGCGCCTTTCTCTCTCTCCCCCCCTGTTTCGGAGGCTCAGAGCTGCTTTGATTGATTGTCTTCAGCTGCAGCTAAAGTCCAGCCAGCCAATTTATAGAGCTGGTTCCAGCCTCAATTCTTGCTTTGAAAAACATGACATTTAAAACTAGCCATTGGTTTTCCTACACATGGATCTGATGCTTGCATTGAAGATTGGTTTTGCCTCTTTCCTCCTGGAATTGAAGGCTCATTTGGATACCGCGTCCCCTCGACCTCACAGCACCTTTATTCCAGTGCCATGGTAACTGCCGGCTTGAATTTATGTGATACCATCAGAGTTCAGTATTAATAGCAGATACAAATATCCCCAGCGGTTTCCAATAGAAAACTAACGTCAGCGTTGTCTGCAGTTACTAACTCTGTAAACCAACTCCTGCACAGCTCAGCGCTACAGGTCGAAGGCTTGCTTTTATTCTTGCTCCTCTTGCCGTGCCGGGCTCATCCACGTCCTTTTGGTTTAACGACATTATCACAGAGAAAGGAAGGAGGAGGAATTTTGAAGACATAACATCCCCGCTTCCCTCTTGACTCCCTGCTGCCATGTGCCTTGAATCATCATTGATACTAAAGCAGAGTGAATGCAAATTCTTATGGCCCGTGTTAGTGAGCACATTTCTGACCGGGTAGCAATGCACGCCTATCATATAAATGGTTGTGTAAGGCACAGGGCAGTGGAGAGACGAGTAGAGCCTTGTTCTGTATCTGTGTCACAGCACTTATGAGGTTTATGGAGAGCTGAAAGCAAACTTCATGGGTAGCCTGGCTTGAGCACAGGACTGGGAGCCAGGAACTGCCATATGTCATAATGTGCATATGACATAAGCAGCAAGATAGATTTCTGATTTCTTATTACCACACTGTCTGCTTCCTCATCTGCAACACTGTGATAGCACCACCTGCCTTAGCCCTAGCAGGTTGTGGGGTGAGGGCCAGTTGCCACATGCTTTGAAGGTAAGCAGCCTTCTGCCAGTGCTAAATATGATGTCCTTGCTGGACTGAGTAGGAGACAAGCACAGAGATCATGACTGCCACAGCCTCAGGGGTGGTTAGCATTGCACGATGCCCAGCTACCACGCGCTGTGCATGCAGCGCATCGGGCATTACAGAGTCATGACGATCAAAGCTCCGTCATTTCATGCAGCGGAGGGTCATGGTACTAAGTTTCCCTGGGTCTGGATTTTATTTTTCATTTGCAAAGGGGTCAGGACACTTCCCTGAGGTGGGTTGTCCAGTTCATTTCTACCGGGGAGCGTATGAAAGTGCATGGGGGTGCAGAGCTGCTCACAGTGAGAGTCAGGAGAGAGGGGAATAGCAAATACTGCATCAAACATTCACTCTAGGCTATGAAGTGCCTGCAGGAGCATCTTTCCTAGCGAGACGGTTGGTGGTGTAGCGTGGAAAAAGCACGTGCAGCTGTAGGGCTCAGCTCTCTGAAGGCTGTGTTCCTACATCCTCTTGTGGAGAGGAAGACTTCAGCACACAGTGGGCCCAGACTCTTCACTGGGGTGTCCATGACTGCGACTCGAATCGCATACATAGGTTGCCACAAATACTCCATGCCATGGCTTTTTGCAGGTGTTGCACGGGACTCGTCACTCCATTACGCATGCTCAGAGGGGCTGGGTACATTTGTTGCTGCTATTTAAATGCCATGGGGTTGTGGAGGCTTTTTTGGTTGTTTTTGCTGCTGCTGAGGATGAGTCAGCCATTTGCACTGGAGATTTTCCAGGCGGCCTACAGAACTGTAACGCGCATCCACGTACTGCGCCAGCTGCATGGCGTGCGGGATTTCTCTTGCCGTGTTTGCTGGTTACGGAAAGAGTGGGGGGTGGGAAGGGGGATTTTTATCTTGTGCAGCCCCAGGGCTCAGTTGGTGGGGGCAGGTTGCAGTTTCAGAAGGCAGCGTGTCTACCCTGCGCAGAGAGGCAGAGCATTCGTTCCAGAAACGCCACTTTCAGGAGTGCTCCGGTATGCCCCATCGTTCTTCTCGCAGGCATGTATAGACTAATCTCAACTCCTCCTCCATGCAAAAGCCTCATTTCTTCTCGTCAGAACAGGAGTGATCTGTGATGTGACTTCAGTGCGGCAGGTGGAGACGGCATGGCTTAATATCATGCAGAGAGAGCATGCCACAAAGGCAATTGCCAATGCATGTGCTCACCCCCATCCTTGGCCAGCGTGTGTCCTTTTTTGTTTCAGTTTAATAGGCTGCCTTTAAGGTGCTGTAGCAATTGCTCGCTATGAAGGGCCTCTAACGTCCTTTCCAATGCGGCATTGATCCCTTCAGCCCAGTGCCACAGGCTGGGTCCAGGATGGTTGCAAAGGTCTCCATCTCCAAGGTCTCCACTACTTTCCATGGGAAACAAAATGACATTCTTGCCTCCCTGTGGCAATCCCTGTACCCCCATATCGCTCCTTTTACGTTTTTTCCCCCCATCCCATTTCTCCTTATGATGTTCCCCATCTCAGCAATCTACACGTGAAAGTGCAGCAGCAGTGTCCTTCCTTTGTTACTGCTTTGTCAAACCCAGCCTTTCAGGCTGTCTTCAAAAACCTGCAGCCTCCAAAGGTATTTGCTGGTTTTTGCTGAATTTCTTCATCTGCGTGGCAGTCTCTTAGTTACCGAACCGCCCAGCTGCACGCGGGACTGGTACTGAGGGTGGATGGAGACACGTGGAGGTGCTCACCCATTTGCTTTGATGGGTGCACAGAGGAATAGTGCAGCTATCCTATCCCTAAACACAGGCGAGGGGCTTGTTAGAGCTCAATTCTCAGCTGGTTTAAATGAGCACCTGTTGGTTCTGCTGAATCTACTCCATTTACTCCAGCTGGGAATCTGTCCTATTACCTATTAATGACTATTCCCCCATAATGAAACTTGATGAATGGAAATCCCCCTGGATTATCTACAAAGTGGCAGGTTCTTCCCCATTAATCTCTATTGTTGTCCTGTAGCTGTTTATGTCTAAGGGACCGTGTCTCCTTGTTCTGCATGTATGTACCGGAGGGTTGAGATCAGAAATCTATGGAAAAATAGTTAACAGACCAGATGTCCCCATGTTTTACAGCCTGTTTCTCCCCACCCCAGTGGTCTGTTTCCTTGAAAGCTATTAGCCAGCAGCAAAGGGTGCATTGCAGCGCTTTGTCTCTGCTGCTGGCCTATAAAATCCAGATTGCTTCTTGTGAGACAGGATCACATCTCCTAATTAATATTTCAGCTCAGCCTTTAATAGAGCAGATGCATAGCATGAAATGTGACATGTGGCCGGCCAGCGGGCTGTGGGGGATCCACACAGTCAGACTTCCTTCTCCCCGTGTCTCGATGGGAAGAGAGCTACTTCTGCCTGCCCCAGCAAACCCACACAAGAATGCCCCTTTGTTCCCCCTAAAAGCGTTTGCTTCATCCCGGTGGGGTTCATTTAATTCCCCAAATCTTTGTATAGGTGTCAGTGTTTTGCATCGTGCACACAGCGACGGGGGTGCTGGGACTGTTGGGACAGCAGGAGTCTTGTGCAACGGCTGAGTGCACCACACTACTGGATGGGGCACGTCCTGAGTAAAGAGCTGTTAGGTTAGCACAGGCAACAGTTCCCCAGCACCTGCCCCTTCTTCCTCCACCGACTCTGTATTTATAGTTGGAGGAAAGCAAGAAATCTCCCCCGAGTCTCAAGCTGCAGAATGACTCCCAGCACAGCCACTGCTAAGGGTGAGAGATCGGCTGTGGCCGTCTTCTCTGCCCATCTCGAAGTGTGCAATAGCACGGGATGGCTAGCAAGGGGTTGTGCCTCAGATTGTTTCCTGACAACCCCGATAGATCATGCTCCCATTTATGTAACGTGTCAAATACAGTCCAGTGGGCTACGGGGAGGGTTTAATCCATTGAGGAGCAAGATGAATAAGCCTTTTCAAGGGACCTGGTGCAATTCCACTCTGCCTGCTGCCACAAATTATGCCTGCACTTTCTCCAACTTTCCCTTTGCAGAGGCAAGACCAAGGGACCTGCTGTGATGCCAATCTTTCCATTTCCCTTCTGCTCCTGATCAGGAACACAGCAGAAAAGTCCATCTGGGCTAGGCTGCTTCAGCCGTTAGGGATTATTTCTTCCCCTGGATCTTGTGCCTCTCCTCCAGCTGCATAATTTGGCCCCATCAGTGACGAACCTTTTAAACTAAATAGCAACTCTTATTGCACTGTGTTCTCTGGGAGAGCCATAGCACAGGCACGGCACAGACAGCGAGCCGCTGAATCTCCCAATTCCAAATAAAACCCACTTTGCCGGCTACCGTACTGTTACCACCTACTGCATGTGTGTGTACCACCTGCCCTGTAGTCGTGCTTATCAGTATGTTTCTGGGATGTGAACTGCAGCAATGCAAAAACACTAGAGCAAATGGGAGTGTCACCAAGCCAAGACACAAAAGGTGACACCGTCTAGCATTATCTTTGACTGCATTAATGGTGGGTGTAGCTGACTTACAGTCTGTTAGGAAAACGTCATCCCTACATTGAAACCTATTGCATTTCACCAGGCATGAAATTGGCCCAGTAATATTTTAAAATGAGCTGTTTTAATGCTTTCATCTCTCAACTGCTGGGAAACTATTAGCTACAAATGTCCTCATCTCAGTTTCAGCCAGCCTTTAAGGTCTGTTTTGATTCCTTGGGATCTCAGCAGCAGCCCTCTTTTCACAGTGTGGGGCATATTACCAAATGTTTTTAGCTCTGTTATTATATTCACGGATTGATTTATTTCTCTAACTCACATATATTAATAATTCACAGTGAAGTAGGCACATCTCAGCTCAGGGTGTCTCAACAAACAAGACTAGTTCCCCAATCATATGCCCTCTGCCATTGGTACCAGAGTGAGCCTTGGTAAAATCCTTCCTGGAAATGGAGTGGATCTGGATTTACTCCAGTGTCACTGAAATCTGAATCTGCCAGATAGATGCCAGCATGGACTGTGTTTACTTCCTAGAGAGACTTGCAGTTTCCTCTGAGCCTTGGGGCAAATTTCCAGAGGTTGGGAGGTTTCATGAGGATAAGCTCAGAAGCTACTTAAATGCTCTGGAAATAGGGATGGAAATCTCACAAGATCAGATGCCCTTTGGAGGCTTCCAATACTTTGTGGTTTCAGCTAGACCGGAAAAAACTTTCCTATAGTTTATTTCATAGTGTTTGATATATTACTTCCATTCCTCTAGCTTAGCCAAATCCAGGAAGAACTGAGCTGTGCGATGTTTTAATAAGTGAAAGCAAAAAAGAGTTAACCAAGTGGTTTTGATCTTGGCAGGAACGCCTCTATTTGGTTTGGGCTATAGGAGGATTCTGGCTTACTCAGATTTTATCCTATTCACATCTCTCCTTCCAAAGTATCTTTTAAAAAGCAAATGAGGTGTTCACTTTGACGGAGTAATGGAAAGGGCCCTTTGGGCATGGATAACCCAGTATAATCTGCATCAGTTTTGTATACAGATCTAAAATAAACTGTGATCAGGAAGGGACAAACGTGCAGTTATCTCAGGGTAGCTGCGTTTTGTAGGTGGCTGTTACATTGCCTCTCATTAGGCATTGGGTAAGCAGGTAATAATAAACTCATTGCTTTTAGCAAATGGCTGAGATAAAGGTGGACAGATGTCACCTACACAGGTGTAACTTATATCAGCGGAGCTCTTCCTTATTCTTTTAGGGGTAATTCTCTACCAGATTACTCTGGTTTAATGACTTTTTACACCTGTGCAGACCCTTACAGTAGACGACAAACAGACACTCAGTCTTTTCACAACCACTTGTCTAGCAGCACTCCCTGCCAATATCTGAAACTGTGGTATAACAGTCCAGGTACACACTGAGGCCTTGTCCAGGGACACATAGGGCAGGAGAAGAGCATGAGTCAGGCTCCAAGCAGAAATTTCCAGGTGAGTTGGTGCCAAAAGACATGAGATATGGAGAATGGTAGGAGAACAAGTTGCCACAGTCCAGTTCAGAGATAAGCAGGCTTGGACCAGCTTGTGGCCTGCAGCCTCAGGACGTGATGATGTCTTGGTAAAGAGTCCAGGAGGAGTCCAACCTTCTGCCCCGTGCTTCACTTCCCTAGGATCTTCATCTTGGTCATGTCTCCAATCCAACCTTTCTATATGATCTGTTCACAATGGGGTGCGTCTACACATGCATTTGGGTGTGTCTAAATTTAATGCGCATTAACTTAATGCACATTAAGGCAGTTTAGGCTTGCATCTACATTTGCATGTGGTAAAGTGCATTAACGCCGTGTGCGTGGACTGACATGGGACTAAGGTTAGTCCCAAGTCAATCCCTACACACAGCATTAGTGGACCTTAATGTGTCTACGTATGCATTAAAGTGCTTTAGTTATTCATGCCTAAATTTAATACCTGCTTTTGCCATTTTTGAGGCGCATTATGGGCCCGCATGTGTAGATGCATGCCCTTAATGTGCCTTAAATCAGGATAAAGTGCCTTAAATCATCATGTGTAGACACACCCAGTATTCTGCACGGGTCACTGCTTCTTGTGGGGTGCACAGTGGTGCTACAGGGCGTCTTAGGAGATGATCCATGGTTTGCTTTTCCAGACAAACGCATGGGTCGGTTGCATAGAGTCCCCGTGATTTCATGAGAAAGTTGCATGAGGATGGTAGAGAAAGGAAGAGGAGGCTTTCAGTATACTTTGGATGTGCAGTGTTTCACTCGCACTTGGTTTGTCCCTCGTGTCCCATAGAGTACTAATGAAGGAGAGGCTGGTACAGATTCAGCTTGATTATACAGGCGGGTGCATTTTAGAGGGAGGGAGAAGGTGGGTTGAGAGCTACTTGAAAACCTGCCCATTTCTTTGAAAGGCTAGTGCCCAGATCCACCACTAACGTACATCACCATCAATCCATTGACTTCAAAAAGGCAGAGGCTGTCAGGCGTAGAGTCTGGTTTTGGTTTTGTGCCTATGATGTGTTTTAGACTGACCTAGCCGGTTGAGTTTTTCAATTACAAATTCTGCTCTCGAGGCGGAAGTACTGTATATACCAAAGGACAGGGATGTGACGTTTCTTCCTCAAGTTAAAGAGTCACTGTACTCTTTCTAATAAAAGAACATTCACCCCTTCATGAATTTCCAGGAACATTACCTGAAAGTTTTTAATCCTTCTAAGCCCCGTCATGTTTTTTGTGAAAAAATACTGTGAAACGATGGGCAGTGCCAGAGGTCCCTGATTTGCATTGTTGAAGTGCGGAGAGGTATATTAAGTGCCTACTTAGAGCTGGAAAGGGGCAGTTGTGCGGGGGGAGAAAGTTTCCTGCTTTCAGGTTTCATTTAAGGAGAAACTGCAATCGCTATCATTGCTTTGGAATCAGGATCTGGTTCTGATTTTGTCTACACTGGTGTTATCTGTACAGCTGTCAGTTAAGTTGAACATAGGGCTAAGCCTTGTGCCAGAATCCAGTAACTTAGACCACTTTGTAGACTCCTTAGTGGATTGGCCTCTGTTGCATTGCAAAACCATGATCCAGAGTGCATTGCATATCAACAATAATAGGATTGGGCTTTAAGTATTTTAGGTATATTCTACATGTCAAATGAAATTTCAAGGTGATGTCACCCTTTCATTACCTCTGTAACTGTGAATTGTGTGTATGATGTTTTTGTGGAGAGCTGCCAATCAGGGCTGGGTGAAATTTTCATGGCTGAATTGGGAAATTTTTGAAATTTTGCTATTTGTTTTGATTTTTGTGAATTTTAAATGATTTGCAGGGAGAGAGAGGTGGCTTCAAAATTTATTGTCGCCAAAACATCCCCCTTTCAAGAAAAAAAAAATCTGGGTATATTAGAAATCTTAAAAACTTAAGCTTTTTTAAAACTTGGAAAAGATCAGTTTGGGGCATCAACATGAAGGAATTTTCTAAATGTGTGTGCTACCTACACAAAACCTGCTCTCTTCTGAAATCAGGGAAACCTTTCAGCATTTTTAGAGGAAAAATAAATCAAACCTCAATTGCAAATGACTTCCCCAGCAGCGTGCTGGTATCAAAGAGGACACCAGTGAGGCAGCTGAGTAACACATGGGTAACGAGGAGACTTTCAAGACCGCTGTAAATCAAATTGTTGCGGTTTTTTTTAAAATTACTATAATTTGCTTTATAACTGTGAAAGTCTCCAGATACCTTTGGGTGGGATCTTCTCTCTCTCGGTATTTATTATTTATTCATCTCTGGCCGCAGAGCTGACCCTAGGAGGGTGCAGGGCCTGGGGCAAATCAGCCTATGCGGGGGCTATGGGACTGTCGCAAAGGCAGGGCATGGCAGTGCCGTAGCAATGAAATTTGGCGCCCGGGGCCAAGCAAATCTCACGTGCCCCGGACAAGCCGTGCTTCAGTGGGCACGAAGCCGGCAGGGGGCGGTGGGGGGTTGGCAAGCAACTGGATGCTTCTTCTGCGGTGTGGGGCTGAACTGCCAGCTGTAGGCGGGTCCCGTGGGAGGGCCCGCAGCCACTCCGCCCAGCTCCGCAGGACCCCCCAAAACGTGGGGGCCGGAGCGGGCGTCCCGATTCGCCCTACCCAAGGGACAGCTCTGTGTGGCCTTACCTAAAATATTCTAAAGGAAGCCTCTGTCTCTGAACCCCTGAATGTCACCTGGGTCTTTCTCTGTGCTCCTCTGACTTTGGAGGTGGCAATTGTCATCCGTTGGCTTTGTATTAAATTATACCAGTTTGTAATTTGCTTTAGTAACCTGTTCTGCTCTGTGATTAGATGTGGGGATAAGCCTTTTTTAAACATATTGCAGTTTCCCTTGAACTATCTTGGAGGTTTCTAAATGATTTTTTTTTTTCTATCCAAAATAATGGTATTGAGTGAGGAAGAGTTCCAGTTTGGTTGTAATAAGTTCAGGAATTGGATCTGCTGTCTTCTAGGTTCAGGGGAATCAGTCAGTCCTGTCGCTATCACAGTGTTATTAACCAGAAGTGCCAGTGGCGATTGCAAAGAAAAAAAAATCCCTACTTCTTCTTTCTTTTTAAATGCCTGTAATTCTCCACCTGAACAATAAAATATGTGATTTGTGATGAATTAAAGAAGTTTGTTTGTCTGAGTCTTTGCTTGACGTGGTTGTTTCAAGCCCTTATATAAGACATGTGCATAGTTTATTTGAGCTTTTTAAGAGTGGGGCCAGTGAGAGATCCAGTGGGTGTCAAAGAACTTGGTTGTTTGCTAATCAAGTCGTAGCCTAAGCTACCCGTATGGTAAGGACCAAACCGTGCCTTTTGATACGCGTGCTGCAGTTCCTGTGCACGTTGCCAGCCAGCACAGGTAGAAAACCAACCACCACTGGGCATCTTTTTCACACTGGTCTTTGTCCTGCTTTGTGAGAAGGATCTGGTGTTAGAACAAGGTCCCAGGACGTAGCTTTGATCTGAGAGATGTTGGGTGACATTGCTAAGGCTTGAATCTACAAACCTTTCCAGGAACTGAGCCACCGCCACGCACTGTTTCAGCAGCAAGTCTGCCTGAGGGCATGTATTTCCAGATCAAGCCCATACACACACCCTTGTATTTCTCATGCATTATACAAGACAAGTGTAGCCTTGTGGGAGGATTAAACGTTAAATGGTGGCATCACTGTCTGAACACTCATTCCTTCTTGTCAGGAAAATTCCCACTGAAGTCAGTGAAGGCCTTTCACTACAAGACGAGCAGAACCAGGATCTTATGGCATGAGATAGTGATAGTCCCCTTCTGCCTTATCCTTCACTGACAGGCAAACCTCACCAGCCCCTCTATTAAGGGAAGTCTGTTCACCTCTCTGCAAATAGCTTGTGTTGCTTTTTACTTTTTATTTTTTTTAGGGAAGTGTTGGGAGATGGGTAAGCAGAATATGGAATTCATTAAAAATTCATAAACGGAGGGCCGTAGACGGATATGGGAATAAATGCTCTCATGCACCTGAGGCGACCTTTTGATGAAGTTCTGGTCCTGCTTTTCAAATACCATTTGTGAGAAAGCAGAGCTGTCAGAGCTATATGTGCCCTTTGCATCTTTTTGCTTTAAAGTGCACAAGTAACCTGTTTCAAAGTGAATAGAGTAACTGGACTAAGCTGGGGTGTGTGTGGGACTGGCATAACAATGTCTACTATTTTAAGAACGGCATAGGCAGCGCTGGCATTGCAAACAGCACTGGGGTTGACAGGCACCTTGCTGAGCTCATGTGGTTTTGTTCCTCTGGATCAGTGCCTCAAAGGTAAGTGCTAACTGTTATTGTGTGTGCATCCCATGCTAATTTTGCTTGAAGAAAGTGCCCAGTTTTGGGACCCTAAATAAAGATGCACAATATTTCCTTATGCCACATGCAAATAAAATTATTGTTCTGTTTATGGCCTCGATGGAAACAGTAGGTAAGCTCCCTCTACTGATTCTCTAGTTGCAATTAATGAACAGTCACCTAGGTCCAGAACGATGTTGCTGTATTAACGAATGAATTAATGAAAAGAACCTGGGTAATTTAATAATCTTTTAAGACACAAGGAAGTAATTGATGTTTACTGCCCGGTAAAGAACAGGGCTGGCAGGAATGAACATTTTCAGATTGCAAAGAGAATGTCACCCAGCAATAATTGTGAGAGAAACCATTAGGTAGCGATCACCATATAAATGTCTCAAAGAGATGTGAGATGCACACACAATTATTTCTGAGAATCTTTAAGCAAAACAGCTGTTGGTTTTATAGCTGCTTTGCAGCGTGTGCATGTGTGTGTGTATTCATATATCTGTTTAAAAGGAGAAATTAAGAGCCTTTTGTTATCAAATCTAGTAACCCAAAGCATGTTAAGTATTTATGCATCAGTTAGTTTTTTATTACAATTTTTATCTCTCGTAATCAGTTCCAAATGTAAACCTTTTTTTTATCACTGAAGTGCAGCAGGCCTTTATGAGATGTAGGCAGAGTGCACGGGAGGTGCCAAAAGCAATTTTATAGAGCCTTTTTGTGGTCAGCTACAACCCATCAGTTCTTGCCTTCTTCTTACTATCCATTTTAACAGCCCCGAGATGAAATGAAATAAAATAAATAGGAGTAAGTGTATAGAACCAGCTGCCAACCCTTTGAAATGGTCTAGAGATACATATCCACCTTTGGGATAGAATTGAATTAGACAAGCAACAATAATATAAGCCATGCCAGGCCTTTGGAATATAATTATTTTACTTGGCAAAATGGCAGATCTCATTCTTTGTCTCCTCTCTACTAGATAGTATTTCATCCATATATAGGGAAAAAATGGTATGCACAACAACCCCCTCTGTTATCACAGCTTCGGTTGCAAGTTTAAAATCGAGTAGAGGAGAACGTAAGCTTCCCAGCAGCGAGTGCCATGATTCCTGAAAATCGTGGCGCACAGGTTGAAATTCATCCCACCATAGGGCAGTATTTAAGCATGTGCTCAGCTTTGCCGATGTGGTTAAGTATGGTCCTGAATAAGGTTGCTTTCCTCGGGGCCCAAACCCATTCGACTGTATTCTGCAAGCCTAGTATGGTCTAGTACTGGTTACATTGCTAGGGGTTGGGGCTTCCCAACTCGGCCCATTGCCCGGCAGAACATCGACTAACTTTAGTGGAAGCAGAAGCAGGTTGATCTGGGTACAATGGAGGGGTTATTGTACATACAAATACTTTTCAGAGTTCTTGCTGATTTACTCATTAAAGTTTTAATTAAAACAGAAAGAAAAAGAAACAGCTGCTTTGTGCAATATGATGCCTTGTCCTGGGTGCTGTAATATAAGATAATCCTTGCCACAAAGAACTCACAAAGTGGCTCCTAGGGGCTATTGCTATATAAACAGCAGTCATACATATCAGAAAGGTCATGAAATGGAGCGCACTAGCAACAGCCTGATAATGGAAACTCCTTTAATTTTGGCATGTGTGTGCGCACACCCGCGTGTGGGTCCAGGACCTTCCAGGATCCTTTTAATCGCTTTTCTCCTCACCAGGTTGCATCACAGTCTGTCAACTCAGCCGATAACACGCAGAAGCAAAAACATCCCTCCCATTTCAAAAACCATCCAGGGTGGTGAAACTCACTGACTTTAATAAATGTTTGGAGGCTGGTAAAATTTGAATGAGATGGCGTCATAAAAGCAGTAAAGAGATCGTAGCTGCAAAAGGTCAAGAAACAAACCGAGGAGGTGATTACAGCGAGGAGATGTGCTGGACATATTTTCTCATTGGATTACCATGTATTTCTCACACATCTACAATGTTTCTAGGAATCCCTTTATTTACGAGGACAGCTCTTGTATCAATGAATGGCATTTTCTATTGTTCTTCCCGTGTTGTCTTGCACTGAAGCCAGACTTCATAGGAGGATGCACTTTCCTTTGAGCAGGGTTTATACTAGGCACTTTTTAACTAGCCTATATACTTTTGAAAGCATTTCCTTTTCTACGAACCAGATGGCATGAATTGTCATACTTCCACTGACTTCTACTGAGTGAGAACAATTTGTATAAACTGAGGATCTGGCCAGATAAATCTGTCGTATAAGTCTTAGAAGTACAAGCCTTCCTTTAAAACCTCAGCTGTTCCTCCCTTGCATGAGCTGTTTTTCCCATCTTTGGTGTCTTCTCAACCAAAATCATGCCATAGCTAGCCCCAATTCCAGTAGCTGCTTATTCCTCTTAGCATTTCCCCCCGTCTTCCCATTTAGGATTACTGCTTCTGGGCTCAGAGTAATACTTTACCACCAAAATGCAAATGCTCCAAATCAAACATTAAAAAATTTCTTGTACCACATCGCCTAGCCATAAGGGTTTGAATCCATGAAGGGTTCCTCAATGCCCTTTGGAGGTTTTAGCAGTTACAATTAGCATTTAAGGATCCATAATTAATAGTACATCCTACCCTGACAGTACTAACCACCTCAAATCTGGTGCCAGTTATTCTTTACAATAAGCTCTAACATCTTCAGCTGTAAAGTAGAATTTTATAAATTTAGCACCGTTTTGCTTAAAAGTTATGTTCTTTTTTTTTTGGCTTGGTTTTGTTTCAATGCAGGGGCATAAGTTGCAATGAAGGCAATGGTATTTCATAGACACATTATATTTCTTATGGGTGATATACCTCAGTAATGGATGAAAGTGGCAAAATGCCTGGTTTGCTTTGCGTACAAAACTCTGAATCATATCGATTGGAGAATAGACAGACTTGAAGCATTTTTCTTTTAAAAACGATTGCCCATGGAAACACTCATTTTTAAAACTGGAGGACAACTTTTATATGATCGTGTTAAATGCACACTTGTCCTTTGAAGAATTTGTCCACTAACATATTCTGTCGTGTTGGTGTCTCATGTGCCTGAGCTTTGACTGCAGAGTTTGTCTTAGCCGTACTCACTGGGTGCTCTACTACCGCTCCTCAGACCTCCGGTGCAGAGTTGTGTGCTTAGCTGACGTGGAGGAAAAGGGGAAGGAGGACAGGATTTAATCATACGCATCTGGAAGGACTGTTTGAGTTCTTGATGCTTGACCCAGGTCAGAGATGCAGTCTCAGCCACAGCAGACACAACTCTGCCAGGTGGACCTAACCTGGCAAAGTGGATCATGGTTTTGTCTTGGTCAGGCAAGGAAGATCGACCTGGCCAATTCAAACGTCCCACGTACTAGATTATCTACTGGACCTCAAGCAGGCTGAACCTGCTTTCTGCTAATGGCCAGCCTGTAGCTCTCTTGACCTGTCACTCAGCAGTCAATGATTGGCAGGTATTTTCTCACCCCACAACCCTCGAGCCCCTTAAGAGCCTATCCAATATCTTCCCCCAGGTGATGGATCCAGCTCTGCAGTAGGAAGCAAATTTCCCTCTCCTCCATCTTTCCATGAAAAACATTTTAGAGATTACATCAGCAAGGAGGGGGTGCGAGAGCCAAGCTGCCTTGGCAGATCCCATTTTTGTTCGAGATAAGATGACACTAAGGACTCGTCCAAAGTTCCTACCCAGGGTCATCACAAACTTTTAATTTGGGGCAAATTAACTTTTTGGTGCTCTTCCAGAAACCCTATTCATCACAAATAGTGCTGTGCTGTATTTACTGAATATTAGGAAAAGTTTGCTAGGATGAAACTGTTCTCTGTATCCACGGCAGAGACCTAAAGGTGCAACAATATCTGGCCAAAGGTGGCCTCACTGGATCTTGGGCTATATACAGTTACACTAGGAGACCACCAAAGTGGATCTGTAATAAGTGATAAGGCAGAAGCTGAGCTCAGGAGACCTCTGCAAATCTTGCTGTAGTTGATATCTTCCAGGTTAGCTCCCCAGCGTTCCCGTCATACCCTTGGAAAGGAAGGTCTTTGCAGAAGCCTGCAAGGCAGATACTGCATTTGGCAAAGCAGTTCTATACCTGCTGTTTGCCTAAAGGGTCTGCACATATGTGGACGGTGCTTTGGAGTCACCTCTCGAGAGACTGGGTATGTGGGGAGTTCCTCAAAGAAGAAAACAACGATACTTATCAGGAGCTGACATCTTTGAGATGTTTTGCCCACGTTACGTCTTAGCATCCCAGCCTCCTTCCTCTCTTTCTTGGAGTCCAAAGGAACGTAACCTTCTGCAGCTGGCAGCAAGGGGAAGAAATTGCATCCTTTACTCCCTCGTGGGTATGAAATGGGGGCAGGAACTGAGCACATCCTACAGAGACTGTGAAGGCAACAACAACAACAACAAAATCCAGCCAAATCTCAAGGGTGAAACCCAGCCTGAAGTGAGAATATGTACAGCCATAATACATAGTGGAGAAATTCAGCTCCCAGTAAGTAACTTCATTTCTTGTTAAACGTAAGAAAAATGAAATAATCATAAAATGACCGACATTTTAACAAAAGATTAAGCCAGAGGTATTTTTAAGAGGGAGTTTTTGCCGTTTGAAGAAAAGCCTTTGCATTGAAGTACTATGGTAAATTTATTTATTTATTTTTTTAAAAGAGAGAGTCCTTGAAGGAATCATTACTAAAGCATTTCGTATACAGATTACTTCAGACTTCATCATTCTCCTTCTAAGTCTGGTTATGAGATGAAGGCCAAGATTTGTTGATTAGGATCAGATGGCTTGTGGCGAGATGGAACGTACATGACTTAACTGGAGGGATTAAACCCAAGTTTTTTGGCTTCCATTTGGCTGTCCTATAAAATTTAACTACTAGGCCAACTAGTTGGGCTGCGTTTCCCCGGCCATATATGTGTGATGCGAGATAGTTGGGCATGCTATATCAGCTGGTAGATCAGTTTTAACCATCCAGATGTTTTGGGTGAGAAAGAAAAACTCAATACAACTAAAAGCTAAATTAGACCCCCAATTTATAGTTTACATACTAGGTCAGCAACCGACCTATTGCTTGGCCTTAATTCTGGTTAAGTCTGAAGCACGTTTTACTGGTCTGTCTGTGGCCCTGAAGTTTTTCTTTCTTTTTTTTTGCTTTTTGGAACTGCCTACAAATCTACAGATGTTACAGTCAGGCAGACATGCTGTATCTTTGCTCAGGGAGGACCAAGTACAGTCTGCACTTTCCAAAAACTCAAACCCTTTTCAGTGATGCCTATCCAAGAGAGCCTGCAAATCCAGAGAGACGGGATTTAGATCATCTTGAGATCATGAGTTCATTGACCCCGTGACATTGACGTCCAAAACCCAAGTTTATCATTTCTCTTCTTGGCTAGGTGGGGTTCAGAGTGCTTATTCTGAATTTTCCTTCTTTCTCTCTTACAGTTTGGTCCCAGAGAGCTGAACCAGTTAGCTATACAAGGATGAGGATTTTGTTACTGGCATTTTGTATTTAAGGCCATATCCTTTAAACCTACCCCTGTAGAAGCAGTTAAATACTCTTCTTTTTATAGCCCCGACATTTCATTTTATAACTCAACTGAGATCAAGAGTGGTAACCAGTCACCAGTTTATCTTGCCTGTGTGTCCCCCACCCCCCCCTCCCACCACAATCTTTTTTTTTTCCACTTTGTTTTAGTTGTTCTTCGAAAGAAGGAATTAGGGCAAGTTTAATAAATGTGTCCGTGCTGAAAGGGCACAAGTGGGGGAGGAATAAGAAATGAAATGAGAGAAGGAAGTCTTGCCTTTCAAGCTATCCTCACTTCCCTTTCCCAGTTGACCAGTTCAACCGTGTAAGAGATAAGGAAATGTGGTTTTCGGTCACAAGTCTCATTTACTGGTCACGACCAGATGCCCGGGTTCTGCTGCCAACGACTCACCATGGTGACTTTGGAAAGTTATTTCACCTTTCAGTGCCTCAGTGTCACTGTCTGGAAAACAGGGATAAAAATCCTTAGCCGTTCCTCGCAGAGGGGTTGTGAAGCTTTGGTAATGAACATTTGCAAAAGAGCCTCAGATGAGAAGCTGCTGCAGTGAAAATTATTCTTAGAAACCAAGGGTTGTTACTGGCCTCTTATCAAGGCATTGTCGACAACTTCTCTGTAGGGAAACCTTAAGCGCAGCCAACATGAACAAGCTGCATGTTTTGAAGTGGTGCAGTTGATTATATCGGCTTTCATCTTCTGGTGAGAGGACCTTCTGCCATCTGAACTCGCTGATCCCAGAAGGCACAAATCATCCAATCAATCTGAGATCGCACAAAGATAGGAGCAATGCATTTTTCCCCCTCCCACTTTACTTAACCCTTAAAACACCGGCCTTTCCCTAATGGACGGCTGAATGAATGCTGAAGAGAAACATGAAGCGGCGTGCGATGCAGACGTCATTGCAATATTTTAAACCCTTTTACGACCGAGTCCAAGGGCCTTGAGGGGATCCCAAGAAGAAATAATCTTAAAAAAAATGCATGCAAATCTTGTACACTGAACTATGTTAACACCAATGAAGAGGGGTATCAATAGCCAAAGAGACTTTTTTTTTAATCCTTGGGTAAAAAATACATGGAAAGCTACACAAAAGGCTTCCACCATGTTAGTTAGAGGGCCTCAAACTGGTTTGGAGAAGTCACCTCTAAGGAAGCACAATATCTATGCTGATTTAAGGCCTGAAACCAGGCTCATTCAGACCCTTGGTAGGTCAGTTAACAGAGGGCCCATTAGAGGGGTGCCCTTTGTGGGATTTTAGTCCAGGCCATACACCCAGTTCACCAAACGTCTTCCTTCTCATGTTCTGCGCGCTGAGATGAAGCGGAGCGAGCCACCTGTGCAGCAGCCAAGGTCTGTGCCCTACCATGCACCTCTGGAGCCCTCCCATCCCCAAAGGGCACAGCAGTGTATCTGCAGCCACCTTTCCTTCTATATAATCATGGCTTTTGTACATCTAAGGATGTCTGAATCCAACATACCGCCACATGGAGACTTTTAAAGGCAATCATTGCCTTAAATGTGTTCCCCCACTCATCCTCCCATAACACATAGGCTCATCCTTCCCTTTGTTCTGTAGCTAGCAATTAAAAGGAAAGAGAGAAGCTAGTATGCATTACCGAATATAGCAATGTAAAGCTATCGGTATGAACAGCCAAGCACAGTACATGCTGCAAATGAGGTTATTCTCATGAGACCTCTGGTTTTCACAACAGTGACATGTAATTCTAGATTGCGTGGCTTTACCTCAGTAGGCTTTTTTTTTAATACCCACTATTACCACTCCAGATAATACATTATTTTCACCTTCAACATATTCACAGGATTGTTGCCTCAACAGGGGGCATACACAGTCCCCACTGGTACGGGTTTTTTTGTTGTTTTAGTAATCCTTTCCGCGAAGCATTTTGTTTTTAACTCGAGCAACTTGCTTCAGTACTGCAGTTTATTAACAAATAATATTAATGGTGCTGCACTCATGAAAAACCCAGGAACACACAGATTTGTATGTGGGTTGAAGAAAAATAACGTAGATTTGGGGAATTTACAAGGTGAATATCAACAGTGCTGATATCAAAACCTGCAGTAGATTGCCAACACGGCAGAGCAGCAGATCTCTGCTCTGAGCAATTCACAAAGTGATGTGCAGAGGTATAATAATACTACATAAATAATCTAAAAATACCTCCATATTTTTTTTACATGAAGTGTTACTTTTTGATTGAAATAAAAAAAAATACCCCATGTGTTAAAAAGAAAACTCAAGTGGAAGATATATTCCTAATGTAACAGATCCCATTAATTATATGCTATGAGCTATAACTTTGGCTTGCTCAGATGCTTCTGCATGGATCTCATTTGAGGATGTTGTCCTTGAAGAGAAGCATAGCAGACTAGGAAAGGTTTTAAGCCTAAATGCAGAATGTATTTCAGAAAGTGATTAAAAGTGTATTTCTTCACTTTGCTCTTGCAAAGTTCTAGCTTCCATTTGAGAAGGTACCCGCTGTGGGGTTTTTTTTAACTCTGTCCTCTTACCCACCTCACAACTGCTGACATTCCTGAGATATTTTACTATACGTTGACAGCAACCCAAAGCTCTCAGCCCCTTGGAGAACAGGAGCTGCACTCAACTGCTAAGGGGCACGTCATAGGCCATCTTGGAATGAAAATAATGCGTCCTTAATTCCTTTATAATTCCCATGCCACATGCTAACCATGCCAATGCTGGAATGACTTAACTATTCAGATCAAGAACACTGGCATCATGAAAGCTACCCAGTGTTTAAAAAGAAAATAAGCTTGATTGATTATTAATTTTGATGCTTACCATCTTCCAAGCACTTTAAACATGCCTAGTGTTATAGCAAAGTCTAGGTATAATTTGATGAGGTTCCTGGAGAGATATCAGTCATTAGGGTTTGGAAACTGGTATCAGTAGAACTTTATTTAATGTTGAGCATTAAATAAGGGGCAAAAGAAGCAACCTGGAAGGCAGAACCTATCCCTGAGAATGAAGGAACCAAGAGAGAGGCTACATAGGTTGAGATGAAGACTCGAATAAATGCATTGGCTGGTGATGAAAGAACAACTTTCTCCAAGCAGTGCAGAGAATTTAAGTGTATTGAAAAGCTCCTAAAGGTTCATAGTTGAAAGTTAATTTCTGAAAGTGCCACTAGGGTTACATCTAAGTTTTACAAAGTTTTACAAAGTTGGGCCAGTGATGGGCTCTCTTATCTAAGCCCCACATTATGTTTCTGTGGATGCAATGCTGGATTGCGTTAAGCACCAAGCCACTGACAACTCAGCATTTCCTGAGCAAAGGGCCAAATAAATGTGTGTTTTTTTAATAGTTCCCAAACTTCAATCTCAATTAAGTGCATCAAGCAGAAAGAGGCTCTGCTTGCAAAGCAGTGGGGAAAACAGCGTGTCTATTATTATGTGGTCACAGTGAATAATTGCTTTAAAATAGCACTGCAGCATACTCATCATGATTTTGCTCAATTATTCTAATAGTAGGGTGATCTGTGACAATGCAAATGATGCCACTGCTAGTTACAAAGCAGAGCTAATGTGAAAACCAATCCAAAAAAAGCAAGCTTCAACCAGCACATACCAACAGCCTGAAAACATGCCTCTGCTTTGGCATCTGCATCCTTCACTAAATAGGTCCACGAGGCTACTTCACCTGAATCAAAGGAACTATGCCAAAGCTGTATTTGACTCTGAATTTGTAGTACATCATTTCAAATAGTATTCGTCCTGCACTTAATTTCTGTTGCATCTGATTGACGTAATCAGCAGCAATCTTGTCTGAGTCAGCATTTTGTTGAATAGATACGAAGTGAATCAGATAATTTTCTCTCTCATCTGTCTCATTATCTTTCATGTGTTAATTAAAAAAACAACAACAGCCTACGTTATTCCTGAAGAGGGCCAATCCATTTCATTCAAAGTGACGTGCCCATATGTCCAACACTGCCTACGGCAGAACTCGTTCCCAGCGCACGGCTGCATGCTGTCCTGTGCGGTAGTTATTGTCCACCCTTCCTCCGAGACTGTGCCTTTCTTCTTCTCTTTCCTCTGTCTCTCTGTGCATTTTCCATGCCCACTCTGTATAAGTGGAACATGTTCTGTATCTCTCCTCATCTACCTTCATATCCCTTATGATGTCAGCAAGCAGGGAGTAACGCTGGATTTGAGGGCTTTGCATTTATTTCGAGCAAGCATGATAGAAAAATCATTTTAAAAAAGAGTAGTTCTGCATTTCTTCTATGTGTGATTGTCTTGGAGGTAAATTGAAGGACTATTGTAGTCTTACTACCATTAGAGTCTAGTGTCTGTCTCCACTGAAAGAGGCCAAATGACCTCCGTTGTTTCATTCTCCAGTTTTTAAACACAAGTTCCACCTATTTCCTTTAATAATAAGGGAACTTAAGTCTCATTTTAGCATTGTGGAGGGTATTCTAAACCTTCAGGTGTGATTTTTCAGGTATGCAACGCCTGTCTAACATTGCCAGTGGCTGTATAGGATATTCAGGCCTCTGAATTCAATAGAGAAGGCACAAAGAAGCTCTCATGGTATGTTTTGCAGGAGTGCCAAAAGGCTGCAATCAGGAACTGGCAACCCATTGTGCTGGGCCCTGATGTCTTCCATGAAAAAGTCATTCCTGGCCACAAGAGTTTGTGTAAATGCCTTAAAACTAAGCTGTCTCTAGACGTTGGTAAATAGAAGTAGGCTTGCATCTATTCCCTTTTTGGCTGCACACTCCTGGTACAACCTGAATGGAAAGCAACTGAAAATCATTAACATCACATGACTATTTGGTGGTACATAAAACTGCCACTGCACTTACCTGGAGTTCAAATGATTCCAACTCCAAACCATTTCTTTACCATTCCCGGCAGGAGGACCCAGAAATAAGTGAACACAGGCAATAGATTTTCCTGTCCCAGCCAACAGCTGCCACATCAGCTTACCATTGACGGACATCTGCCAGGGATGGCAGGGAAGTTCTTGCCTTGCACTTGGTAGTGGATAAATGTTGAATGTCTGTAGGGATTATAATACAGGTCGTTGCCTGTATTTACCCCTTTTCCAATGTGAATGGCAAGGTGGCAGAGGAAAGGAAGAAGAGTTTTCCTCATAGTAAGGAACAGTGATGACTGTTGCGATGGGATGGGATGATGGTTTTGTTCTCCGGGTAACTGGCTGGGAATCCCCCTTCCAAGTACTGCTTCTGATGCAGAACTTGTCATGCTGGGTGTTAACACTTTAACAATTACTACACTGGCTGGGTCTTGACAGACAGTCTCTGAAGGGCGAGGTTCCCTCCTACTGTGATACACTTCAGACTCGGGAGGTAACACGGAGAGTTAGGTCCCAGAAGGGGGTGAGTTCCTGCTCATGAAAATGAAGTTGTTCTTGGAGACAGAAGCACCCACAGCAGGAGGGAAACTGCGTTTCTACCCGGTTTCAGTAATACTTAATGCTCAGTTGTTACTCAGCTCATTCCACCGTCATCAATCAAGCAACTTTCCCTGCTTGCACTAATCCCCGAAGAGGGAGACCTCAAGATCCTGCAACAATACCTTTGGTTTATCAAGGAAAGAGCAAATTGAGACCAGACATTTCTGAGGGTGGGGGGGAAAAATCTCTCCATAAAGAATCTAAATTTACCATCGTGTTAACAATTCTGTAAGACTTTTTGGCACCCTCGCATGGAAATTTCAGAAGCAGATGGAAACATTTGGAGATGTATAAGACACATGAGCCTGCAACATCCACTTTTATTTTCTCAGTGGGAGGGAGAGCTGGTTTCATGTTGCCTTTAATATATTTTTTCCTCTCTTAGTGATGGTAGGAAAAGCAAGAAAGAAAGTGAGCAAGTTATCTACATGGCAGTTGGATACTGCTCTCTGGATTCCCCTCCTGGGGTCTGTCAGCTTGGAGAATCTGTAAAATTAAAAAGAGTGCTTCATCCATAGCAAGGACGGTTTTGTTGTGACAAGGCCAGCAGGAATTATGGGCTATTGTTCTAGCTCTGGCCCTTTGATCTCTGATGAGCCACGAAACCTCTCCATTGTGACAATAAAATGACAATCCAAACTAATTTCCCAGGCAATTTGCAAGGCTAAATTAGTGTATGGAAATCCTCTGCTGGACGCGACTCTAGAAGTATGGAGAGCTGTTATCAGTGCTCTAGAAGCACGAATCCCACTTGCACAGATTCCTGCTTCAGTAAGTAGGAGGAATGAAGATGGGTTTGGATACAACACAATTCAGTGAAAGCATTCACACACACACACACACACACACACAGAGAGAGAGAGAGACACACAAGGAATTAGAGGAGATTTAAAGCAGAATAACTAAATTCACGACGGCTCCAGTTCAAGAGAGTGTCCTTGAATGTGCTTGTAATTAAAGACTTTTCCAGTTTCTCATTGCTGTAAGTCCCAATCCAGGGAAACATTTATGCACATGCTCCAGTCCACCCCCTATTCAAGATGGCATTTAAGTACATATTAAAAAACTTTGGGCCTCTATTTTGGCTTGAAAAAGAAGACATACAAATCATTATACAGATCTATGAACAGTATTATAAAAAGACCGGTTAGATGTTCCTACAAAGCAAGAACAAGCTGTTGCTTAATGTAAAATAGCTATGGTTACATACAGCCCATGAAATAGTGTTTTGGTGCCACAGAGATTTAAGGCAAAAGACTAAATATCCAGGTATTGTATATGGTAGCTAGGATAAGATAAAAGTTATCAACTGTCAGGTTTCTGAGCCACAGCTGGTCAGCAGCTGAGGTCAGGGACAAATGAAGCTACATTTTTTTGGTCTATTTTTGATACTTTTGGTTTAGTCCATTATTGTAAGTGGTGAATACAGTAGCTAGCTATTGGTCTGTTCCAATAGGCTAATCACCGTGGTTTTAGGACACAGTTGAAAATATAAGCTAGGATTTTTTTAAAGACCCTAAATTGTCCATCTTCCTTTGACTCTCAATGTGAAGTCAAAGCCTTTAATTATAATGGGCATTTCTGGGCCTGCTGATGACAGTCGCTATCCTGAGTGGGGAAAATGCATATCTTTTCTTACAGCAGAAGTAAGTGATCCTAGTGCCCACTGGAATTTCATCTAAGAGTTGCATATAAGGTTAGAGATTGTAGCAGGGTGCCAAAACTGGACCCTGCTATGCTTGCTCTGCGAGGTGAACTGAGCCAGGAAGCATAGCTACCGAGGGCTCTGGGGCCAGGGAAAACTTACAGTCCAGTGCTGAATGAGTTAAACCACATGTGTTATAGGCAGATGCAGGTGGGGCCAGTTCTCATAAGGTCTAGGGAGTTCTGGGCTTCCTCAAAAAGGGGAAGCAGACCAGTTTGAGGGATCGCTCTGGAGATGGGGAAGCAAGGGGCAATCACTACCTCGTATGTCATGCAGAAGTGTGAATAAGAAGTGGAAAGGAAAGACTCCGACTGCAGAGAGAAAGCGAGGGGCCAATGCTGAGCCTGTTGCCCCGTGAATGCATCCCAGCCAGACAAAGGAGAAATCTCCACCTATCGAGCATGAAGGGAATACTGGTCTGCACTGAAGGTGAGCATGTGCTGGGCTCCAAATTGATTTGTGGAAATAGGAAGAGGTGGAGGAGGAGGGGGAAGTGACATAAATTCATGGCAAGTCTGGACTGGGTTATTTAAGTTATAGAGTAAATTAATTAGGGAATGATTGGGGAAGAATATGGATTAATTATGGAGACCTACTGAATGAAGACAGACCTGATCAAACAGGTGTTGCATTATATGAATTAATGACCTTATGTAGAACCCAAGCAGGAAGCATAGACTGTATTATTTAAGATACAGAAGTTAATCAGAAACTGATTGGGGAAGAATATGAATTAATTATGGATACCTACTGAATTAAGAGGGACTTGATTGAACAGATGTTGCATTGCATGAATTAATGAGACTGTGTAGAACCTGAGTCAGACAATTGGGTCTGTTGATAATTGATTTAAATTAATTTAATCTAGAACTTAATTGAGCAAGGACTCACATTTTACCTGTTTGAGGCAAAAGATTCAAAAAGCCTAGCAGATAAGGAAATCCCAGGTGAAACCTATGAGTTGAAACTTGGTCCCTAAAAGAGTCAGGATGGTGAGTGATGGGAAAGGGTGTAGGGGAGGAGGAGCCCTGTAAATACACCTTGAGAACTCTCATCAGTTCAACCCACTAGCAAGACATCTCCCTCTCCTGTTCAATTTTTTTCGTAACATAGCGTAGCGGGCAAAATAAAACAGCAGTGAGGCTACAAAGAGGGGCAACTGACAGTTAAGTGGAACACCGTTGTCATGGAGATGTAGGAGGAGCTTTTAGGATCATGCCCCAGGGAAAATGGGTGTAGCTTGGTGTTCAAGCAAGCTGTAGGAAGGATTTGCAGAGTCATAGGATGCTGTGTTTCAAAACCACGTGGTCAGCTAATGGGAAAAAGTATCTTAGTCTTTTAATAGTTATTCAAATTGCCTCTATAGATTGGCAATAATAAAGGAAACCTTCCTATGACACCAACTCAAATATGGATGTATTAAAAAATTGCCACCATTTGTGACAGCTGTTGCCATTTCATGAAGACTCTTGTTTTGTTTAAGTCCTACATGTTATATATTTCTTTAAATTCCTGGTCGTTAGCCAAGCTACACCCAACAGAGCCACACATTCCCATTGGTCCCTTTATGGCTTTGTCAAGGTCTGAAGTGCTGGTGCTGAATGGACAGCTCCAGATAACCTTTGGACCTTTGTTTTCCATGTTCATTTTATTTGCATGTGAATAAGAAGCCGCAGGTGCAAATTTCTGCCATGTTTTCCTAGGCAAATTGTTTTCCAGCAACAAGAGTAAGCACAAACTGGAGCAATCCTTTCCTTTCCTCTGAATGGTATTAATGGAAGGGCATCCAATTAATTCTGTAATGCTCCTATGGCTCCATTGGCCTAATTCACCATGGCATGTCTGAATGTATCTAATTCTAAGCACTTGAATTGCCCCTCCGAAAGAAATGGAGTGCATGGTGTTAAATCAGAAAGCAAAAAATATTGGCCCTGAGAAGCAGTGTGTCCTGAATCTTTGTGGTAAATTTTACCCTATGGTTATTGGTTTCCCTCTTCATCCCTTGGAAAGTGGATCATGCCCTTGACTGCAGTACACAGACAAATAGCCAAAACTTGTATTTTAAATCTGCTGAGCAACTGTTTGGAATTGAACCGCCATGCACATATAAAAACATCCCTCTGCTAGGAGAAGCCCATATCATTGCACACTTGAAACATTTGTACGAAGCCAGAAGCGCATGGTATTTTAGCCACTGAACATCTGTATGGAGCCATGAGCTTCTAGCATTACACCCTCTGTATGCAAAGGGAATTTGTTAGCATTTCTTTTCCTCTGGCGGCTTCTTTCCAGAGCCCTTCAGAATTCATTTTAAAAGGTTCATGGGTGTTAGATTTAGAAATTGATATAATCTGATGAGAAAGGCCCATTGCTTTCCAAAATCTACATTTTCAGATGGGCTTCAGCCAGGCTTTCCTTTCCCTGGTATGATCTGTAGCCGCAGAAACCGTCCCATGTTGTTTGCACTCACCCCCAATTGCCACGTGCAGGCAAATGGCAGTTGTGTCTACTCCTGCAGGCTCAAACTGGGCTCAGAGCCAGGGATTTGAAGACTTGGATCTAAATCTCCTTTTTCCCCCCTTACGTCTGCCTCTCTGTCATGGAGATGACTTGGATCTGACTTTTGATCGGATTCTCAAGGATTTCAAAACAGTCCCAGTGACTGATGCCAGTTGAAGATCTGGGCATTTGGCCACACTTCAACAAAATGCATGATCACGTGCTTACCTTTGAGGACCATTCCTGCCAAAGTTGGCTGAAATGCTGCAGGGTCAGATCTTAGGCCTCTGATTCAGAATGGCTATGCTAAGGCAGGTTCGCACCCATGATGCAGAGGGATGCTACACCCTATAGTGTACCTCACATTTGAGAATGCAAATTGATTCTTTTTTTAATTAAACATGAGTCAAATGCTTCTATAAATAAAATAGAAAAATAAGTACACAGGAGTCAGTTCATCCTAAACATACACAGGTTTCCATTTATTTATGTTTTGGTAACCCGGTTATCTCCATTAAAAACCTGAAAGTGCAATCTACTGTGGAGGAAACTGAGAAGGACTCAATTGACTTTTTACTGGAGCTGTCAGGTCCATAACACTGAAAAATCACAAATCACTTGGATTTAAAAATTTTTCCCTTTTTAGACTTAATCTGCCAAGATGCTATTAGCAAGGGCGGTAAATAGGTTTGCCTGTGTCTTGTGATTGATAACCTGATCGTGCCTTTTTCCTCTTGGCTAGCCTCTTCAAGGAATACAAGCTTTCTCTTGCTTGACCATATAACCTTGGATTATGCACCATAGGTCTCAACATAGTGATGATATAGTGAGGGGGGTGCTCAAAGAGGTTCCTTTTCTCATTCTGCTTTGAAATTACACTCAATCTTTCCCAAGGTTTCCTGTCTTCTTATCTCTAATTCCACTGCATCATCACTGCCCTCTTCTTTTTGAAAAGTAAAACATTATCCCCCTCTATAGGATCAGGAATCGGGGGTCCTGAGAGTTAGGAAAAATCCACAGAAGACTCAGGACACAGATGGACCCAGCACATCTTGTGTGGGTGCTGCCACAGCTGCAGGCTGGCTGCGTAGCTCTGGGATGGACGAAAAGTTTGTGTTTCCCTCCTGTATTAGCTGGGGGACTGTTCCCAATTTCCTGTTCCCATCTTCGTGCAAGGAGCTGAGAATTGTACCCCATGGGACAATACGTTACTGTCATGTTTTCTCTTTCTGACAGCAAGCTGCCTTTAGGTCCAGTTCTACCTCTCACATTTATTTCTGCATTGTGAACAGCAAAAACGTTTCCTCTCTGTTTTGCTGCAAGATTATTCATTCGCCTGACTCTGATGACTCTTTCTAGTGAAACAACAAACTTATCTCCTGGTCCCAAAGGAAAGCTTTTTCCTCGTGGGGTTTGAAATAAAAGGAAATTCCATTTTAAGTTACGTGAAGTGCTGACATAGTCCCTCTGCCCCAGTCAGGGACATTACGTGGAAAATGCACACCTGGAAAATGCACAGCCACAAGATCCTAAGGGAGAGAATCAAATTTTTCAGGAAGACAATCACGAGACTCCTGTGGACTGCAAAAATGAAAGGAGCATTGCCTCCCAACCGCGGGTCTCAGTGTTACAGCAGCCACTGGGCCAGGCCAATATTTTTCCAGCCTGCTGCTGCTCAAATTTAATTAATGTATCATTCTTGGCTACATCCAGAAATTTTTCCCATTAAAAAAGGTATCCAGCCTTGTTAAAAATCTAAATGAATCACATTATACTTCATTCACAGGAGCATGGCAAGGAGTCAGACCCCTGCATCAGTCTGGTTGTGTCATGGTAGGTCATTAATGGAGACCCTTAAAACCAAATGTTGGATTTAGATTAGAGTGGCAATAAACTGTTTTGCAATGGGTTCATGCACTGTGATGTCCTTAACAGTATGCTAAACTCTCACTAATGATACTCAAATGGGCCATAATATACAGGTCTGATAATCCATTGAAACATGCTCATCACCACAGGAGAAATTATTGCCCCACTGAAGACAATGGCCAAGCCCCATGAGTTGAGCAAGGCTGGGATTCCACTCTAGAAGGGACAAGTAAAATTTCATGGCTGATTAGACATATGGGCCCATCTAGATCAATTCAGCTTCAATATTTTGCTGTTGCTTTCACATGTTCTAGCTGCCTTTTTGATGCCTTTGAAAAGCCACGTGATGCAGTGTGTATAGCCCATGTGGATCCAGTCCTTCAGTCCTATATATAACTTTGTGGATAAACATCACCCTTCAGCTTTTAACACCTGTATTCTACTCTTTGTCTCCTTTCTATGCCTTTGATAGTTTCTATGCAATGTAGTGAGGGGTAGTCCAATGCTAATCAAATCCTCAATCCAAATACTGTGCCTTCAGTCAACATTTTGTGACTTTTTTTTAGCCATCAAACTAAAGGTGTTGCTGCTTCCCCCCCCCACTGCACAGCTTGAGAAAATCAAGCAAGAATAATGTGCAAAGTGAGAGGTGAAGACAGGCAGCTCTCTACCCTGTCACTCAGGATGCAGGAACCACGGTACGCAGGTCACATGCATCTGGCAATATGTTCCCCAGGTTAAAGAGAAATGAAAATTAGGCTCCTTGTCTGTACATAGCATGTTCCCACAGATAACTCACAAAGTGTGTAATCCTGGTTCCAAAAAAAGGTAGCATTAATGACTAGCACCCAGTGACACGCAGGATGTCTCTGCAGTTTCCAGAAGTAACAGCCTTGTTCACATGGACACCCTTGGCTTCTCGTCCTGTCTCCCCATTGCTGAAGCGGAGGGAGCGTGCCTCTATGGAGACCGCTCAATGCCCATGCTGTGAGAGGGAGGACTTGAAACATTCACATGAGGTCAAGAAGCTTCCCTCAACCCATGAGACTCGGGAGTGGGATGCTTCACAAGTCCCCAGACCTCACGTGGTCCCAAGTCCGAGGGCTGAGCTTTGCAGCAATCCCGCATGTTCTCACAAATGGATGTTGTATTTCTTTTTTCTTTCATGCACGCGGCTCAAGAAAGGCATGGTCTGTCTCTAAAGCTTGGAGCTACTGACAGCTTGGTTGAAATATAAATTTGATGTTATAAAATATGCTCCCAATATATGTGGCAGGAGGGGAGTGGCAGAAATAGGTAAGGAACAGGACTTCAGTGTGGTGTTTCTAGTAAGCACGGCCACTAATGTTTGCAACGTGCTGCTGAAAAGCAGGCTAACAGAACAGAGCAAAACCAACGGTGCCCAAAGCCATGAGGCTGAGTTGCCACGTGGGGGCAGCATATTTCCACAGCATCGACGAGGCGGTAACCAGGAAAAAGGGAGGCTTTTTCTTTTTTTCAGGGTCTTGTTCAAAAGGCATTTTACAAGCAAATGAAAAAAACCCAAACCCAACTGTATGGAAATATCTGGAGACTGGCGCAGAGTCAAACACTTGTGCTGGGTGGGGGTGTGGAAAAAGCTGACCTGCTTGGAGGACATAAATATCCCACTAAAATCCCATAAGGTAATAAGGTAACAAGAGCCTCTCGATGCTTGGAAAAAGTGGTATATCGGGTGCTCAGTACTTGACAAGGGGCTGGCTAGAGTTACACCAAATTGTTACCGCTTCATCACTCAAAGCCTGTCCCTCCCCTCCTGAAACATGAGGAGATAAGCTGATTTCCTCCTCTCCCTGTTTTCTTTTTAACAGTGCAGTGGGATCTCTTCAGCGAAACTCTGACAACTTCCCCACCTCCCCCACAAAAGGGCTATTAATGAGTTGCAACCATGCTCACTTGTCTTTGCTCGCAGGCCGGGCTACAAGGAGAAACTACAGTGCAGACTGGTGACTGCGATGCCTTTGCAACTGCCATTTGGCATGTGCCTAAGTCACCTGAGCCAGTTTGTTCCCAGTGTCCCTCCATCCCATATGGGGGAGATGGGGCACGATCACACGAAGCAGAAAATCAGAAATCAATGAGGTGCAGTCAAACAGCAGGAGATGCCAGAATGACTAACTTTGCTTGGGAGAGTAGTTTATGTATCATGCACTCCCCGTGCCCTGGCACCTCAGCTTGTGTAGGAAC